AAAGCTGTGAAAGCTTTTATCCCTCTCACGGGAATGTGTAGTGGAGAAGCATTTTTAGTCTACCAACGAGAAAATAAGAAGGATAGTTGGATGAATCGGTTTTTCTGTAGAGGAAATTTTTGTATGTTCATCGTTAGGGTGAATGTACCATATGCAATATTTACAGTTATATTTTATACTAATAAAACGTTAAAAAATAAAAAATTGAGCAAAGTATATCTTAATTTCCTTTCTTTAAGTACTACTTACTTTCGCTTGGTTCCTTCTAGTTTAATCTTTCACCAAATCGTGCAATTTACGACCAGGTTTTACATCGGCGTATAATGTATTTTTGTTCTGAAATACCGATCGTGTAAAAAATCAGAGGTTTCGTTATGCCCTCTACAATAGAAAGCGGCGAGTTTAGGAATTACGTACAATCCAACCGTCGAAAATGGTAAAGTCGACAGATGTAAAAAATCCTCTTTTATTAAATTTGCATACAAAAATAAACACGTATATTGGATTACGTGGGTAGAACTTGGACGATCTCTCGAAAACAGTAAAACACACGTATGGAATGAATCATCCACTGATGATAAATTATCTTCTCATACTTTTTATTACCGTATAATGAGAATTCTTTGAAATTTTCGCTTTCGATGATATTTATTGTAAATTAGAGCATAATTGCATGTACTAAGCAGGTTAAAACTGATACAAGGATATAATTGATAAAAAAATTGATATAGAAATGAGTAAGACAAGGATAGCAATAGAGAAATAAGTTAAACAAGGAAAGAAATAGGGGTAGACAAGGATAGCACAAGAGAAATGAGTCAGACAAGGAAAGGTATAGGGTTAGAGAAGGATAGAGAATTGAAACTCGCATCTGGTGACGAGACTACGACTTTTCAATAGGAACACAGAATGTAAACAGGGGTATTAGACAAGGAACGAACTACTGTGCAACAAGGATAGAGAGACAAACGTTTCTTATTGGCTGGCGGGCACCGAAGCTCTATCTCCCACGGGCTACATCAAGTCGGCAGGGGAAGAATCATTAATAACTGAATAATTACGATGATTTTGTGAACTTTTAGGATCGAAGAATGTAGCGTGGACCTTTAGCTACTTTCACGTATAGATTTTAATGCGACAGACCCTTTTAATAATTAGTTATTAATAATTTTTATGACGTGATGTCGGGAACGATACCGCATACCGTCAGGCATCTTTACGGCTTTTCAATAATTTCACAGCTTTCAACTAAATTCCCATGCAACTAACTATATGCATCCGAAAGGCAACACCTTTAGCTACATTCTTCTATAATTTCTAGTAACGTATTCGGCTTAGTTCGAGAGTGATTAAACAGTAAAGGAGACAGTCCCTATTCACCGTACCCGAGTAAAGTCGAATGTTACAAACAATTGTTAATATCTAGTAAACCACATCACTTACGGGTACAAAAATTATTGGAGGATGTAAATAAAAGTCTATTATACATTCTCCATGCTTAAAAGTGCATAATTAATCACGCATTTCCAGTGAAATAACGAAAATGTGTTACGACTGAATATGACGCATTTTCAATTATTTCATAGCTTTCTACTAAATTCCCATAAAACTAACTATTTGCGTCTGAAAGGTAACTCTTTCAGCTACATTGTCGTATAATTTTTATTAAAATATTCGGTTTAGTTTAAGAGTTATTGAACATTCTTTGGGAGAGTATTACACCCGTCGCATTCAAACGTAACACATTTTTGTTATTTCATTAGAAATCCCTAACTATTTGTGCACTTTTAAGTATGTAGAATGTAGAATGGACTTTTTTTTATATTCTGCAATTAGTTTGGCAACTGTTAGTGGTGTGGTTTAGTAGATATTAGCAATTGTTTGTAACATTCGACTATACTCGGGTACGGTGAATAGGGACTGTCTCCTTTACTGTTTAATCACTCTCGAACTAAGACGAATACGTTAATAAAAATTATAGAAGAATGCAGCTAAAGGTGTTGCCTTTCCCATGCATATAGTTAGTTGCATGGGAATTTAGTAGAAAGCTATGAAATTATTGAAAAACCGTAAAGATGCTTGACGGTATGCGGATCGTTCCCGACATCACGACATAAAATTGTTAATAACTAATTATTGAAAGAGTCTATTGCATAAAAAACTATATGCGAAAGTAGCTAAAGGTCCACGCTACATTCTTCAATCCTAAAAGTTCACAAAATTATCCTAATTATTCAGTTATTAATGATTTTTCCCTGACCGACTTGATAGGGCGCCTGGAGGTTCAGCATGGCGGCCAGCGGACCAATGGGAAACGTTCTCTCTCTGTCCTTCTCGCACACTAGTGCTCTCCTTGTCTAATACCTCTGTTCATATCCTGTGAACCTATTAAAAAGTCGTAGTTTCGATCACCAAACACGAGATGATGTTAGTTTCTCTTTGAAAATTTTCTGTTTGTAGCCATATATTGTTTCCTTGTCTACTGCCGTTACTTTCCTTGTCTAACTCGTTTATCTAGTTCTATCCTTGTCTATCCACATGTCTTTCCTCGTCTAACTCATTTATCCTTATCCACCCGTATTTCTTATCTTGTCTTACTCATTTCTCTAATGCTATTCTTATCTACCGCTACTGGTTTCGTTGTCTCTCTTCGCTATTGCTATCGCCGTCGTTTTTATTATATTTAATCGTTACTAGTAATGTAGATAGTAAAATACAGTTTGTGATATATTTTGAATTACTTTAATTAGCGTACAATCAATAATGGGTGCGACAGGAACATGGTAAGGGTCTTCTCGGCCCTCGTGTCGTGGACACAAAGTTCCATTAGATGTTTCGTACTCGCCGACGAATACCTCGTCTGTGGTAGAACATGTGACTTTATCGATAGTGGATAATAGCTACTCCGTGATCTACAGTAGCTGCACCATTTTCAAAGTACACGTTTAGTTTCAACTTTTCGCCACTGCTACCCGCCGGGGGCCATTGCAATGGTTCCCATGCGAAAGAGTTGAGGTGACGTGTCTCCTATTTTCCAGTTTCCCGGCGGTGGTTTTGCAACATGAATGCATTTAAACGCGAGAAAAAGGAGGAAGAAGACGGTAATCGTAATTGAACGTTGTTCCATTTCTTATTCATATAAGTTTAAGTTTCTAAGAGAAATTAAACAGATCGATCCTATTCTTGTGACAGTTCTTTGTAAACAGGTTTAGACGGCTACTTGTCGCGGAACATCAGTTTTCTTCAATGAATTCTTTTATTTCACGTAACTTGATTTCTGTTCTTTTCAACTGTGAATTTATACCAATCTTTTGCGCGAGCAATATCCAACGATTAATTCTACTGTGCGTTCGTTTCATGTGATTCTTGTGTCGACAGGTGGGGGAAACCCTTTCGAGAATCTGGAAAAGACGACGGTCCTCCAGGAAGCTCGTACCTTCAACGATACCCCGGTTAATCCAAGAAAATGCGCGCACATTCTGACGAAAATTTTGTACCTATTGAATCAAGGGGAGCAGTTGGGTACAATGGAGGCTACAGAGGCATTCTTTGCCATGACCAAACTGTTCCAATCTCGAGATGTCGTTCTAAGACGATTGGTCTACTTGGGCATCAAGGAACTCAGTTCCTTAGCTGAAGATGTGATCATAGTCACCTCCAGTCTGACCAAAGATATGACTGGAAAGGAAGATCTATATAGAGCTGCTGCGATAAGAGCATTATGTACCATTACAGATGGTGGAATGCTAGTAGCTATTGAACGTTACATGAAGCAGGCTATTGTAGATCGTTCCCCTGCCGTGTCCAGTGCAGCCTTAGTTTCCTCTTTACATTTGACAAATGTATCTGGGGATGTTGCACGTAGATGGGCAAATGAGGCTCAGGAAGCGTTGAATTCTAACAATGTAATGGTGCAGTACCATGCTCTTGGTGTACTGTACCAAGCACGCAAGACAGACAAGCATGCTGTAATCAAGTTAGTTGCAAAGCTTATGAGAACAAGTCCGAAAAGCCCTTATGCAGCATGCATGTTAATTAGAATGGCATGTAAATTGTTAGATGAAGTTGACGAAAGGGAAGAGCTGTTGAGTTTTATCGAAGTTTGTTTACGTCATAAATCGGAGATGGTCGTGTACGAAGCAGCGCATGCTCTGGTCAATCTTGGAAGAAACGGCCGAGAGATAACACCTGCTATTAGCGTCCTTCAATTATTTTGTGGCTCTCAAAAACTCGTCCTAAGATTTGCCGCCGTTAGAACCTTGAATAAAGTTGCCATGACTCATCCAGCATCGGTTACAACTTGCAATTTAGATTTAGAAAACTTAATTACCGATTCGAACAGATCCATTGCCACGTTAGCAATTACCACCTTGTTGAAAACTGGAGCAGAAAGTTCGGTAGATCGGCTGATGAAGCAAATTGCTACTTTTGTGTCCGAAATTTCGGACGAATTCAAGGTCGTAGTCGTGCAAGCTATAAGGTAAAATCCTTACGTTTTCCTCGGATATTTTCGTAGTATGTAGAAAATAATCGATCGTAGTTCAATTTTTCAATCGTTTCCACAGAGCTTTGTGTCAAAAGTTCCCGCGGAAACATGCAGTTCTGATGAACTTCCTTTCCGCCATGCTAAGAGACGAAGGAGGACTGGAATACAAAGCAGCAATTGTAGATACGATCATTGCCGTGATGGAAGGAAATGGCGAGGCGAAAGAAGCCGGTTTGGCCCATCTCTGCGAATTCATCGAAGACTGCGAGCATATTTCCCTCGCTGTTCGCATTCTTCATTTACTCGGTCAGGAAGGACCAACGTCGAAACAACCATCTCGATATATTCGTTTCATTTATAATCGTGTGATTTTGGAAAGCGCCAGTGTACGTGCGGCAGCAGTCACCGCGTTAGCACGTTTCGCCGCAGCATGTCCGCCGTTACTTCCAAACGTATTGGTACTTTTGTCCCGTTGTCAATTGGATTCCGACGATGAAGTCCGTGATCGGGCAGTGTACTATTGCGCTATTCTTCAACAACAAATCGATCCAAGCGTTCTACCTTTGGTACAACCTCCTCTTCTATCTGTACCCAGTTTAGAAAGAGCTTTGCGAAATTACATGCGAACATCAATGGACGAGCCGTTCGATATCTCGCAGGTAATTATGTTACATTTTCCAAAAATTTTCATTCAAACAGATTTCAAATACAAACTTTCTTTCTTCGAATACTCTGTACTTGGATAGATTCCACCAGCTCAAACTATCGAAGAACCAGCGCAAGTGGAAGTACATACTACCGTGAAGCCACAACAACCTCGTTTGACACGAGAAGAAAGCTTTATGGAAAAATTGACCCAAATACCACACTTGGCAATGATTATTCGCGACTCTTCGATTCTCAAGTCTTCGCCTGTCTTCGAATTAACAGAATCAGAAACAGAATACAATGTTAAATGTATCAAGCATACATTCGCGGACCTTCTTGTTTTACAATTCGATTGCATGAACACACTTTCCGATCAGTTACTCGAAGATGTGAAAGTAGCAATAGAGCCACCCGAGGGGTAACTAAATTTCATCGTACCTTTATCTAAGGCCTTTTTCTGTCTTCTCAAAGGCAGTATTTGTTTTGTGCTTTTAGCTATTCGATTGTGTGCGAAGTTCCATGCCCACGTCTACCATACAACGAGCCAGGCACAACTTACATAGTATTAAGATATCCAGTAGACGTACATGCTAGTGTCGCTACTATTCCTGCAACATTGAGATTCATGGCTCGCGATTGCGATCCTGTGACAGGTGTGCCAGATGCCGATCAAGGATATAACGACGAATATATGGTATTTATTTTCAACACTTTCATTTCAATGTTAAAACTCCATTGTTCGAGAAAAAGAAGAAAAATAAAAAAACACGATAATTTGTGCGCTGTTAGTTGGAGGATTTGGAAGTGACTTTGGCTGATCAAGTTCGGGGTATTGGAAATAGAGGAATAAACTTTGGCGATGCATGGGTAGCAGCCGCTGCGAAAGGATTTACGAAATTGGAAGAAACGTTCGCTTTGGGTCCGTCGGTGACTAGTTTAGAAGGAGCAATTACAAGTTTGACAGGATTCTTAGGCTTGGATGCTGTAGAGCGAACGAATCGAGTACCATGCGGCACAGCCGCGCACAATTTGTTGTTGAGCGGCATTTTTAGGGGAGGAAAAGAAGTTCTTGCGCGTGCAAGATTAGCGTTATCGGGTAATCAAGTAACGATGCAGCTTTCCGTTTTATGTCAAGATCCGGACGTTGCCGAATTAATTATTTCCTCTGTAGGATAGATCATTTCCATTAGATCGACCATATACATACTTACGTATCATGTATCGAGAGATTTCTCTCACGAAGATCGATAATCTGTACCAAGAAGTTTTTATTTTTAGTATTATAAGTATAATGTTCCAAGAGAAATTACAAAACGGAAATTTTGTTAAATCCCTATTTCTATGTAATACTTTGTACATACAATTATAAAGCGATTCTTTAAATAAGACTTTGTAGAAGCTTTAATCGACGCCGATATGCGACATTTTCCTCCTTATCTTATATTTAAATCTGATATTGGCAACAATATCAAATTCAATTAATAGAAGAGCATTCTTTCTTTAGAAACATGAGATCGTACGTCGAAGAATTATTGATGCTCGTGTGTTCTTCCGTTCGCTTCGTTTTTACGCTATTATTAGCATTCGAGAATAAGGTTATCGAAGAGTTATTTCTACTTTACCGGCCGGGTACTTGACGATTTCCTAGTAGAATATTGTTTGGCTTCCTCTCGAAAATGGCTGCCGTGTTGGACGAGGTCGGCAAATCCGCCGAAAAATTAATAAACGAGGAAAAAGACGAAATCGTTGACGAAGAAGATGAAACTGGTGCAGTAGAAGCATCGAAGAAGAAAAAAAAGAAGAAAAAGAAGAAGAAAGCTGGTATGTTATTCTACGTAGTGTTAGGTGCATCGGAGTTTTCCGCAAATTTAGGGAATATCATGCGTCTTGTCGTATTTTTCATTTTTCCGTTTCAACACGCAATACGTGCATACGCATGCAGTAACATTTATTCTTTCGTAACGTTACGTTTTATCATTCTATCTTTCGCGGTTTAATTTCGTATTTAAGTCACACGGTGGTAACTAACAAACGAAATAAATTATTACTAAACGTGTCCATGAGCGGCACAATGTGGAAGTCACTTTGCACCTGCCTTTACTTCCTGTTATCTCGTATTTTACGGTTACAGTTCTGATATCTCGGCATTATACTGGAATGTATTGCGTTTGTTTGTATTACGTTTTGCGACTAATTTTCAAGGTGAAACATTTATTTTCAAGGATTTTTGTCATTCGAGAATAATTTTCGAGTAATGGAGTAAAAAGCATTTGTAATTCTTATAATTTCAGTATAAATATTGTTTTAGGTGCTGGTGAAGCTAGTGCAGATGTTCCAGAAGGGGAAGAGAATAAAGCAAAGGATGAGACTGCTATGGATGAAGGTTAGTTACTGTCAAACTTTCACAAAAAGAATTATTTGAACATATATGATATTTCTAGAACCTGATGCAGAGGTAGCAGAAAATGATGCAGAAGCAGAAGATGCTAAAAAGAAAAAAAAGAAACGCAAATCACGCGCAAAAGCTGGAGGTGTTAAGCAGCAAACAGATCCTCCAATTATTCCTGTGTCACAATTATTCCCCGATGGAAACTTTCCACGTTTTTCAAGCGAGGAAGCAAGAGCTTTTGACAGAATGCATAACGATATTTATAACGAAGCCAGGCAAGCAGCTGAAGCTCATAGACAAACAAGAAAACATATTATGAAATGGGTGTGTAATACTAATGATACAATTGCAAAAGGCACGCGAATGGAAAAAAATTTGTTTAGAAACTGAATTTCCTTCTGTCTTTTCCTTTTTTTGTCGTTTAGGTAAAACCTGGAATGAAAATGATGGATATTTGTCACGAGTTGGAAGATACAGCGAGAAAATTAATAGGAGAAGATGGACTAAAAGCTGGATTAGCTTTTCCAACTGGTTGTTCACGAAATCATTGCGCGGCTCATTACACTCCAAACGCCGGAGATACAACCGTTCTCGATTACGACGATGTTACCAAGATAGATTTTGGTACACATATTAACGGACGGATCATCGACTGTGCATTTACGTTGACATTCAACCCGAAATACGATAAGCTGATTGAAGCTGTTCGCGATGCTACTAATACCGGGATTAAGGCTGCAGGTATCGATGTTCAACTTTGCGACGTTGGCGCGGCGATTCAAGAAGTGATGGAGTCGTATGAGGTTGAATTAGACGGCAAGACTTATCAGGTATGCGTCTACGATGTGTTTGCGATAATTGTTCATAAACATAAACCGTCGTGATTAACTTGCAGGTAAAATCTATAAGAAATCTCAACGGTCACTCAATTGCTCCGTACCGTATCCACGCTGGAAAAACTGTGCCGATAGTTAAAGGTGGCGAAGCTACTAGAATGGAAGAGAATGAATTTTATGCCATCGAAACTTTCGGGTCTACCGGAAGAGGAATCGTTCACGATGATTTAGACTGCTCTCATTATATGAAAAGCTTCGACGCTGGTTTCGTCCCGTTAAGATTACAGAGTAGCAAATCTCTACTGAACGTTATCAACAAGCACTTTGGTAAATAGAATGTTATCGACTTAACGAAATGATCCTTCGGTTCTAAATGTATCTGTATGGGAGGACAAGTAGTAGCGATACGACGTATATTATGTTCGCAGGTACTTTGGCTTTCTGTAAACGGTGGTTGGATCGTGTCGGTTGCACAAAGTATCAAATGGCGTTGAAGGATCTGTGCGACAAGGGTACAGTGGAAGCTTATCCTCCGTTAGTGGACGTGAAGGGATGTTACACTGCTCAGTTCGAGCACACCCTCGTTCTACGTCCGACATGTAAAGAAGTTATTTCTCGCGGAGACGACTACTGAAATGTCTATTGTTCTTGAATCGCGTTACATACACACTCATTATATCCTTTAATCTGGGAATGTACAAGTTGGTTTGTGTAACAGCACACCGACGATAAATGTTAATGATTAATAACGCGATATTTAATTATACGATCTAACGACACTTTATTCATTGTTTCCCCTTCGTCGGTAGAAATACTCTAAACGTAAGGAGGTGAAACATTGGGAAGTATTAAAAATATCAAAATCACATATTTTCTCATTTTATTTTTTAATCGTATATCAGAGTACGGATAAGGGAAAGTGTTTTTTACGATGTTGCATTATCGAGGTTGTATTATAGTATCGCGTTTAACATTCTTACATATTTTTTCTTTTTCTTTAGACTTTTTTTTTTTTTCTTCAACAAGTTTCTTCTTACTTTTCTACGGATTAGCAAAAGTGAAGAGAGTATTTTCGGTATTGAATAAAATATATTTGATACTTTAATTGTACCAATGCGACGATTAGTCGTAAAGATTACGATTGATTTGCACCGATCAGAATTTAACGCACTTTACGCACGATAGTAATAGAATTACCAGTGTACGGTCGCGCTATACATTAAACTTACTACCCAGTTACTTGACTGTTTCATCAAAATTGACGATTATTTTGAAATACCGTGATTACGTTTACCATACCTCCGAAGTAATAGAAGCGAATGTACTCGAATAGAGAATGTTACCGATTGAAATGTCGGTAAATTCGGATAAACGATTACATTCCTTAGGATACACGTTGTTGATTGAAACAGTACAGTAGAACAATATTATATTTCATTCCTTTTCTGAAAACTATGAACACTGGAGTGTAATAAATGCTGCTACATCAACCTATCAGATGTCTTTTTTATTTAACTGCTAGTAGTTATTACGAATGTACGATGGTCCCAGGGTACCGATTCTACTATTCCGTCTATCGTGGAAAAAACTATCTGTATGTACTTCATATTCAGGTCTTGTATTCGTACAAATATCAGGCACGATATAATAAACTAACATCGGACACTTGTATACATATTTTTGCATTATTCATTTGAATTCTCTTCTACGCTATTCATGACTGATCTCTCTCTCTCTCTCTCTCTTAATTACACTATCGGTGTATTCGTCCTTATACGAGAACGCTCTGGAAAAAAAGCTCGAGCACGTAACAAAATATGAAGGCGTTCGGTGAAGGCCTATTTGTTGCAAACCTCGACACTTTATTCTTACACAGATAACTAAGCGAAGTAACAAAGATGCGAATGCATCATTAGTTGTATGTACTTATGTGACTCGCGTAGGCACGACAGATGTTGGTCGAGGGGATATTCGAGGCCTTAACTCGTCGTCGCGTTTTTTACGACAACGTTCGAGCACACGCGCTCGCCCGCGCGAATACAAATTGTTTCGTGGCAGACCACGTCACGGCTAGACTACCTAACAAGACTAACGTCGCTTTAAAGACGATACGTATCGTGTGGTGTGCGCGTACGCGCTCTCTGACAACTTTGGAAGAGTAAGGCAATTATCTACTTTAACACGAAAGACGCACAAGTTACGAAGCGCCGCACCGCTGATTAAATATATATATACGTGTATACATATATATCGAACCGATAAATCTGTCGACAGACACGACGACCTTTGCTTTTTCTTGTTTGCGTTACAACATTGTACCTTCGACGACGATCACGACGAATTCCATATAATCCTCCTTTGCATATAACGATTACTCTCTTATCAGATTACGCATTCTATGTACACGTGGTCAGGTTACAAAATGTGACGAAAGTCTGCGTCGCGACGCAACGGCTGAATCGTTGCTCCTTCTGCATGACAGTATCCTTATCGCGTTTCACGATCGACCTTTCTCTTTTTTCCTTTCTTTCTCTTGCTTTATCTGAACTTCATTGAGAATCTGTGCGCGGTTTCAGCTTCGCTCTCGCCGTGATCAAAAGGTTGCTCGGTGGTTCCATCGTGGTCGTTGGTTGCGACTGTTCCAGCTGAAACACCGAAATTTCTCTTTTTTTAAACGGTGTTTGTCGTAACGGTACCTCTACTCTCTTTCGAAACGACCGAAAAAGTGTTCCTACTTGAAGAATAAAGGTCCCGAGTAAGAATGGAAATTAAAAAGAGAGAAAGAGGAAACTGACTGCCATCTCGATGTTCTTCGCCCTTTGCTCGATGGCCCTCTGGAGCGCGGTTCTGGGATCGTCTTTGTAGTTCTCTTCTCGATTCTTTTCAGCCGCTCTCCTGGAGGCAGCCTCCCTCTGCTTCTCGAGCGCTCGCTGGAGCTCGCTCTTCTGATTCAGCACGTTCTTGCCACTGGAAAGAAAGTGAAAACCGATGCGGTTAGCTAATTACGGCGTCGAGCGTGCCTCGTGGACGCGGTGCGGCGGTGTAGCGGCTGTGTAGCGGCGTGAAAATTGCCGCGTGATGAGAAAAACGCGCGCGAACAACCTTTCAATTGAATAGCGGCCCTGCTTAAGCCGTAAAAGTGGCTGGGAATGAGTGACAGGGATGGTGAACGTGCGCACACGCGCCAGCAGGAAACGATTTTCTCGATGATAGGCGTGCGAAGTGCATCGAAAGCTACTGCGCGTCTCTTTCCCGTTACTCTACCCCCCTGCCTACTTTAATCACGTATGCACGCATATAACGCATACACAATCTCCACCATCTTGCTGAATTTCTTATTCAACTTTTTCACAGTTAGATCACGCGGTTTCCTCTTCCTTCCACCAAACTTACACTTTCTGATTGAACAACAATTCCCTGCGGAGGTCTTTGTGATTGCTGGATGTGAGGTAAGGGTTGCACGGTTTCCTCGGCAAGATCAATCCGTCTGGTCCCATGTGTGGCGCAGGTGGAGGCGGGGGTGGTACACCTAGTACTGGCGCCATTTTTCTACCTGCAAAACAAATTTACGCAATTACATATTTGCAAAATCTTTCGACGACTTAGAAGTCTGTGACCACACGGAAGAACGACTCTAATCGTGTCGTATACTGTTTCAAAGCGAGCACTTTGGCGGTAATCACGAAACACGATATTGAAGAGCACTGCGATGGATTACAAACTGGCTCAGGTCGACTTCCGTTCTACTCTAGGCGCGAAAATCGCGAAAATCGCGAAAATAAAAGGACGGCAGGGGATGGGAGGATAGAAAGGGAAGGATTTTCGAGAGCACCGTTTAGCTGGAGCAAGCTACGGTAACGAAGGCGGTTAGGCTTTTATTCACCCTCCAACAAGGCGATTCTCTCCCTCACGGAACCCTCCTCGCACATCGCGTCGGATCGTACTGAGAAGCATTTCCGGGCGCAGAACCGTATCAAACAGGCAACTTCTCTATATACTTTTGCGTGGGGCTTCGCATAGCTGCTAATCGGATAGAAAAGTACACGCGGGACCAAACCGCCACGTACGCACGTACGTACCACCTTTTATGCCCTCAAGGTGAGGTAAACAACGCGCTTTTTATTCAGCTTCGATTCGGCATCTCCTCCTTTAATCGGCGGATACAAAATGATATCTGCATGTCTCGGTAAAAGAAGCGCCGCACGCGACTACCAACTACACCACGTGAAATTGTTATAGAAAGCGCCTCGTTGTTCCAATTCCAAAGGTGAACATTTCCTACAAATAGCTAATTTTGCCTCGGAAACTTTCCTACGATAAAACTTACGACATTCGTTCGTAGAACAACGGTATTTTTCTGCCAGAAACTCCGCGTCGAGAAACGTTTAAAAACGAAAGACGAACGATTCTAGAAACACAGTTGGACCGAATACCGGTCAGAAAGGTATCGGACTGACTCCCGGTGATTTACGACCAGCCGGAGTACATCTCTCTCTTCCGGTGCAGTGTTACGAATCCCGAGGATTCCCGTAACCTGTTTCCTATCGTTTGCCGACTTAATCGTTCAATCTCTCTCTTCACACTCGAGAACGTCGTAATTCACTCTTACTCACGCGTATACTATACCGCGCAAATATGTATATGTACATATTAAGATTTCATAAATTCGCACCGTTCATCCTCCTCCTCCTCCTCCTCCTCCTCTCTCTTTTCCTAGCCCGTCGATCGTAGATATCTTTCTAGCCCAAGAACACCAGGAGGGATACGCTAAAACTGAACACAACAACTGTCTTTCGTAACCAAGTGCGCAGCAGTTGTGTTTATCCGTTTGAGAATTCTTCCTCGACCGAGAGCGTTTCCGCGTCCTCCAACGAAACCGAGAGCAATTATACACGAAAAGAATGGAGACGACGACGCGTCGCGGTGTTTCTTCTTTCCTTGGATCGCCGCGTTCGGAACCGGCCGAAAAAAGCACGCTCTGCGGCTGCCTGAAAAAGAGGTTGCGAAAGTGAGTCACCGCTTCGTTGCGTGCGTCCACTCCGATCGGCGCACCTGCGATTTCGTCGGAATTAAGACCAGGCAGCAACAACCTGTCCACCTTTCAAACTCGCGCAACTCTTCCAACTTCTTGATTCCGCCGTAATTTCACCCGTGACAATTGTAACACCTGACGCGGATTCGAGAGGAAAGAATAGAGAAGAAAGAGAAAAAAGGAGGTGGGAAAGTGTTGGGTTAATTTGGCGTATAACGAGATACGATTAGCGGTAAAACGGTAAAGCGGTAACGATGGAGGGAGGGAAAGTTTCGCGAGTAAGACGGCAGTGCATCAAAAGGGAAGTGGATCGAATCCGCGCGGCTCGATTTTACGAGCGAAAAGTGAATTTCACGGGCGAAAATCCATCGAACCGCGGATCTTTTGCGGATTCGCGGAATTAGGTTCCTCCTCTGCCGAGCGAGAGAGCCGGCGAAATGAAAGTAAAGAGAACACCTCGTAAATCAATTTTCTATTTAACAACAGAGATAGCACGCCCGTCCGATCGTTTCTTTCTTTCTTTTTTCCTCCCTTGCTGGATCAAGCAGGACTGCGAGAGAATCGGATCATTTTCAAGCCTTCCCCGGTGTTTTGCGTCGCAGTTGTAGAGTTTCTCGGAATGCGGCCGGAAGCGGAGGCAGAAATTTCGTTGTGCTCGCAACGCGGAAACGGTTCTGGCCGATCTATCCTTGCCCCGTATCTCAACAGCTTTATAACAACGCCGATCGCTTCGGAGCACGAGACGTCGATGTAAAGAGGGAAGTGTTAAAACGAGTTGGTCGAACTGGTTCCACGTTTGAAATTAGAGGTCAACGAACGCGCACGCGAATCTATCGATCGTATCGACGGAAATCTCCTCGCTCTCCTGTTTCGGAGAAAGGAAAATCGGGAGGAAGCAATTTTCCTCTGAAACGGTCTCGACAACGGCAACATTGCTTTCTCATGGCGGCCATCAGGCTAATAGCCAATTAAAGCGTCGCTGAAAGACTTGGAAAGCGATTAGTGGCGAAACTAATAGGCGTAGAGATTATTTTCGACCTATTTTTTGACTTTTCGCGAAAAACGAAAGCGGAGGATCAAACTGGAACACGCGCGATGCGGCCAATTTTTGATCGAAAGTGAATCGATCGATTCGCGGAATGGTCGAACGCAGGCCAAGGAGGATACAGGGTGGCGAGGGAAGGGATAGGGCCGCGTGGACGTGCGGTGGGGTAAAATAAAAATGCAGACCCGGTCAGGATGTAATTTTGAGGCAGATGTGCGGGTACGAGAGGGAGATCATTGCACCGCGAGCAAGGAGCAGCTGAAGTAGCGTGAGAAAATGCGGCGACCGCTCCGACAGATGATAATGACCGAAGGGCAAAGTCAGGGCCGTAACCATTTGGCGGATTTCCCGCGAACCGTCGCCAAAATCTCCGTTACATTTTTTTCAATTACTCCCCTTCTGTTTGCAAACGTGGCCCCCTCGTGGTCGGGTGCGTTCTAGATATCAAGTTGGTTGGTTATTTATTTCTCGCAATCTTTTCGGCGCTTTATTTTCGCAACGTGTGCGAGGAAAACGGAGGCAACGAAGTGTGGGAAACCTACTGAAGGGTTGAAAATAATAAACACGCTCCGTTTAACGATTCCCTCACGAATGCCGGTAAAGTGTTTTTTCAAATAACGAAACATAAATAGGTGAAAAGATTGGTGCACGGTGCGTTTGCTGGATCGATACCGAGGGGTGGGGCGGAATCGGGAGATTGTACACAATGGGGATAGATTCTTTTCACCGCGAGATTTGGTCAATGAAAGCAAAGCAGCGCACCGACGCTCCTATCCGACAGATCTAACGTGCCGCCTTTTATAGCCAGTTAGGGTTCTTTACGATGGCGGCGCAACGACGAGTGCGGGAAAGGGTAGGGAAAAGAGAAATATACATCGACGACGCGTGAGACTCACCACCGTTTGTTAAACCGTCGCAGCTGTCCGTTTCGCTCTTCAGACCGTTAGTGATCACCTGAAAACACGTACAGTTGATTAACGAAGGAACGACTACTACTACAGTTATCGAGGGAAAAAATTCGCATTCTGCGCGCGTTCCGCCTCGGGAGCCTCGGCCAAGCAGCCGGTTCGCATGCTAATCTCTGTTCCACTAACGGGGATAATTGTGCTTTCCGTGACGGAAGTTTCCTCGAAAAATTTCCCGGGATAATTCGAGTGTGTAGGAGAGGAAAAAATTGCCCCGAGCACGAGAGATCGCCGAGATACGAATTTCTGCCCGACTTCTTCGAGGCCTTTGTGCCACACGGAACTCGGCTATTGTTCACGTTTCAGGGCGAGTCCTCGACGGCGAGAATAGCGACGTCAGTTTTACCTCGTTTCTGATAAATTACCGCTTCCTTCTGACCAAATCCAAAGTACAAAGATCACTTTGTCCTTTTCCCCATTTTCATTTGCGCTATTCTTATCGTCGAGGGTGTAACACGCGGCGGCGGAGCCACGGGGAATCCGTGTTTAGCGTAACGCAAGCGTGCCGCGCGACCGCGTTCAATTTCTATCGCACGGCTATTTGCCCCGAGGGAAGAATCGAAAGTCTCGCCGATCCTCGTCGCACGTTTTACCGTTTCTCTCGTGACTCGTCATCGATGATTTCACCGCGATATCACTCGTTAGCAAGAGACGCGAGTGCCAAGATCCATCGATCACGGACAACCGTCTTCTTTTCGTCCGTTCCTTCAGAAACGGCACGATACACGCGAGGAATATTTTACGGTGGTCTCGTTCCACTGATTTCACCGTATGTTTTATGTCCTTTTCTTTTTGGTCCACGCTATCTCTACGGGTTCCTCGTTTATCGCGGCAACGTCCGTTTCCGATATCAGTGGTCGATAGTGTGCCGCTCTGCCAAGGGGAAACTGTACAAGCACGAGACAACTATCGTTTTTAATATCGTAATTCCTCTGCATACGCCATATACACAAGTATGTTTGCACAAGTATAGGCCGTTTAATTAGCGCGCTACGAAGCTAGACTACACCGGAACCAATATAACCTAATATTGAAAAATACCACCCTGTAATTGTCGTTCGCGGCTCGAAACCAGCCAGAAGAGAGTGAAAGTGAGGGAAAGTACAATGAACGCGCGGCACAGTCGTCGGTTTCGTCGCGTTATCAAACGTTACAACGTAACCTTCGCGATCCGACCCCGTTTGGAAAAGGTTCAAATTCGGGACACGAAACTAAACCCGTTTTCCCGATATTCTCCTCGCAGGTCCGCTTTTAGCCCAGTTTTCCCGTGCATTGTCGGTTCAAGACAACGGGTGGGCGGGCGTATATACGTGGACGAAATAGGCGCGAGACCTAGCTGGGGGTCACCATTATGTAAGCACGTTTTGTAGGACATCTTTTGTCGCGATCTTTTTGAGCAGCGAACGACACATTGTGCACAGGTGCACAAAAAGCGCGAACGTAACAGATTTGTCGAGAGGCTGATCCTCAACCTGTTCTATGAAAAGAAGCTTAGCAGTGGCTGTCGACTGCTCGCGTGAAAAACGATGCGTCTAATGGCATCTGATGTTGCACTTCCATTCACCGTCCACCTCTCTAATTATTGTCGAAAGTTTACCTCCGACTCGGTCATACTTGAAATTCCACGAGCGCAAACGATATCGGAGGTGCACAGTTCATCGCAAACAAAGATTATCAATTTTTACCGAAGCGCGGTAAAAGCGACTGAATCATCTCTGACGCGACGCGATATTTCTTCGAGAGGTCGTCGCCGTATCGAGGTGAATTTGCACGCCCCCGATGCGCGTTGTCGACGGCGCGCGTTACAAATGCCAGCCGTATTTAAGCGACAAGTTTTCGAACGGTGCTCCGGCTAATTGCTCGTCCGCAGGCGTGAACGCGTGCGTAAAGCGCGCGCGTAGAAGCTGGGAGCGGCCCGATACGTTCCCTCTGTCACCCCACCGCGTGTTTACGTACATACGCCGCCGGTTAAACGAGTTACGATGAGCTTTAGCGAGGGGGAGATCGTAAGTCCGGAAGGAAGTGGAAAATATTAACGTTTCTTCGGGAGGGTAGGGCCCCAGCCCTCTTTACTTTGCATTCTGATCGATGGATACGCCGCAAAGGGGGGACTTGTTCGAACACACCTTTTCGGCAAGCGAAGAAAAAGTGTAAGAAAAAGTTGAAAGAAAAAATGTCTAATTAAGAGAGAAGAATCGCGATCGAAGGTGGAAATGGTAATTAACTGGCGAGAGGGCTTGTTCGCGGCGCAAACGAGCTCTCGCGTGCAGCTCTTTTCCCTCGCGCTTCATTTCTTTTCCGCTTTCGTTTACATTCAGCTGTCGGCGGCCGGAGGCGCGATTCAAAGGTCACCGACTCGACGAGAGTCGCTTGAAAATCAACTAGAGAAAATTCCAGGTGCGCGATCAACGGCGCACTCGTGATTTTCCAGCTGAAACAATGCAGCCAGAAGAGAAGAGAGGCGTGGAGCACGAGCGGTTCTCCTCTCTGGCTCCAAGTCGATTGCAACCGGAGATAATTTATTCCTACGTGAAGTGACAGCGAAGGAAGTCGATGCAGCGGCGATTACGCGCCAACTACGCCGCAAACGCCGTTGCCAATGCGACTACTATTTTTTTCCTTCCTTTTTCCTTCTATCGTCGCCCAGCCGCCGATAAATCACGGTCTGATTCCGATAATGGGAATATAACGAAATGCAAAAGAGTACCTATGTATCTCGAATGCTCTGGAATTCTTTTTAATTGCACACGTTTAGAACGTTGCAGATAGCTGCTGAAGACTGGGAAAGTCGTGCAACATGTATAGTTTTAAAATTGAAATTTTTCGAAAGCGAGGAATTTCGATGACGCGCATAGAGGTTTGATCGCCGGTAAATAGAGCAATCGAGCAGAATGCATGGGAACAAAGAAATCGAACGATGCTGGCTCGAAAGTGCCCCCTCGATCGGTGGCCGGTGGTATCGTCCTAACGAGCAATAATTTCGTTCAGCTTCGACAGGTTACAGGATAAAACTTAATTCGCCGCGCGCTTTCACCGGGGAGCTTCAAACCGAAAGATCGTATCGCGGACACGCCGCCGCTGAAACTGGCTGATGTACGTTTAAACTCGCTCTCGTCCGTGCGACGTCTCTCCTCTCTCTCTCTTCTATTCACGTGGCTCCGTCCTAATTGGAGGACCGTTTATCGCGAAAATGATCGAATTAAGGGAGTAATTGCTCTCCCGCCAACTTTCAATTCGGTCGACCGGAGACGAAGAAGATCGCCGTTTCGAGTAGCAGAGAGACTCCGTTAGAGGAGAAAAAGAAGAAACGGAGATGAAAAAGCATAGAAGAGGAGAATATTTAAGGGGCAAGTAAAGAATGGCCGGTAACGGGAACTTCCTTACGCGGTGCATCGAAGGAGGACAGCCGGGATTAACGGGTTCGATGCGGGCAGAGAGGCGGAAATTTTGAAATAAAAGCGTGCGAGGTTTTGTCGAGGCGACGCATTATCCTCGAGACAGCGAGCGCACGCACCGGTGAATCGAATTGCAAAACGGCTATAAGTATGCGCTCGGCTCATATGCTCGATTGCTTCGAGACACACGGACGTTTCAGCGCGCTTTAAACCGATCTGTTTCTTTCGCAACGCGAGAACGGCTACACGCGTTCACGCGGCGTGCAACCCAATCGGCAAACACCGGACGCGACCATGTCCAATTGTTCACCGGTAGAAAAAAGCACACTTTTCCGAAACTGTCTCGATGCGTTGGTCGTCGATGCAGAAATGTGACGAATGTCGCCGTAAGAACATTTCTTCTTTTTCTCTCTCTCTCTCTCGAAAGTCTCGCGTTCGAAACGGTGGCTGAACAGGTCGAATCAGGTGGTCCTCTGTCGGTCGATCAACCGAAGAATACTTTCTGCCAAGTAAACGGCGAGAAAGTGATTCGTTCTTTTTTCATTTTTCATTTTTTTTTTTTTTTTTTTTTTTTTTTTTCCTCGTCGTCACGGTTGATGGAAAACGGGTTACGCAGAACAATGCGCGCGTGGAAAAACTAGTCTCGACCAGGAAAAGCCTCGTCGAACGCCTCCTCTGCGTTCGTTACGATTGCGATAGGCTATTTTTCTTTTCCGGCGGGGAACTTGTACAGGAAGGCAGAACAATACGCGCGAAAACAACATCGAGCGGCTGTTTCTCACCACGAAAACGCGAGATTGCAGGTTTGTCGGGAGTAACGAAGGAAGATTATAGGAATCCACCCACCGTGTTTACCGGACCTTGCACTCACCGATTTCCATTCGTTCCGTATCTCGTGCGATTCCCTCGACCGCGTGTGTTCTGTTCGAGATTCCGAGGGGTGTCAAAGTCCACCGGCGCACCGCCAACAACGAAACTGCGTGCAGCACCGATCGAGTTGTCGAGATACGAGAAACTTGTGGTTCACGGTAGTCGAACCTCTCTTACGATTAGATTAGAAAAATTCCATTTCTCACTGATTTTCACGAGTCGAATCGTTCAGGTGCAACCTTGCGACAAATCCTTCCAACGTCATCTCGAGGTAAAAGAAAATATACGACCTAGACAATTTTCGTAATCACTGGCACCGTGTTAGAAAACTCCGGCGTACACAGAGTTGCGACGGAAATAATAGATGAAAAAAATATGTCAGTTCGATCTGAAGTAGATCACAGATTATACCACGCTAAGCTATCGCGATCGTCCCGAATACTCGAAACGGGCTTATCTCTCGACGGAACTGAAGCATCCGAGAGTAAGGTGCGTGGCGCACGCGATTCGAAGGAAACAAACTGAGAGAGAAATTACCGCGTGCGTTTTTGGCACTGGTTGGAGCGCAAAGAGCGAGGGAGTAGCAGTAGCAGGTTGTATGCGCACGATTCGAGGTACTTGCCGCTCGTTCGAGCGCACCACGCCAACTGACAGGAGGACACGAAGCGCGCGAGAGACGCGACGGACAGGCACATCGTCGACGGAGAGAAAGAGCGAGAGAGAG